AAAAATGGCTTAAAAATAATTTCGACTGCCTAAAATATTTTATATTTTTATTTCTACTTAATAAAGTTTATTTTTTAATGAATACTTAGTACGAAAGAACTTAATAAACCTTTTAAAAAATTGTTAGAAATGCCTAAATAATTTTTTCCCTCCATTTTTAACAAGTTTTCATTCTAAAACTTGAAACTATAACCTATAATCCTTCTTTCTCATGTGTTTAAAACGAAATAGAATATATTCCTTGCTTAAGCAGGCTGAAGAAATTCTAATTCCATTATTAAAATCAATTCCCAAAAGCCTGCAACTTTGGTGAAAACTTTAAGGACCTCCACCCCGTCCTGTTGACACCTGGGCGCCACTTCACCAATCACCTGTGGTTGAGACCTCTTCCTCTTGGGCCATATTTATTGGCCAAGAACTAGGATAGAGCGAGAGAGAGAGGAAAAAAACGCGCTAAAATAATGAGCTACTTAAAAGAAATATGTATGCAGCTGGCAGGGGGTGGACCCTACCGAGTGCATCAGGAGGAGGCCGAATCCTGGCGGGCCCAAGGAGCCTTGCTAATGCGCATTTGCCTACGAGTTACGGATAGGGAGGGAGGGGTAAAGGAGGAAGGGAAAGGACTATAAATTTCCGGAAAATTGAGGGAAAGGGAAAGCGGAGGGGGCGCCTCGATTGACGGGATTTCTGGCCCAAGAAGTCTAATGATGGCGAAAGAGAACTAAGACAAACTAAAGGAAGACATGAAAATTTTCGATATCCGTGCCTGAGAGAGTGTGTGTGTAGGGGAGAGGGGTGTGCGAGGGGTGTGCGAGGGGTGTACGATGGGTGTGCGAGGTGTAAGAGGGCTGAGGGTTTGGATGGTTTGGCGGCAATGAGATTTTAAGAGCTTCCTTTTTCCCTCTAAGCTAAAAAATGTTGTTATCGCCATTGGCAGGAAAGGAAGCACTGAAAAATACTATATTACAAGGTACATATACAGCTATATCTAGATATATATATATCGAGGAGTATATATATAGCTCTAACGAGCTATCCGCCAGGGGAAATTGTGGCCCCGATTTGCTGCTTGTCTTGCATTTAATGTCACACGCTTCATTATTTCTAATTGGCAAATTTGCAATCAGCAGGCGAAAACAGCCTTGAAAGGGTGGGGGGTTTTCCTAGGGGGTGGTTATTAGGGGGGCAATTGTAGGGGAAGAGGGTTAAGGAGGGGTTTTTAGAGGGCTCTGAGGGGGTTTTGAGGGGGGTTTTGGGGGGTTTTTAAGTAGAGTTCCTAAGGGGGGGTTTGTAGGGAAGATTTTCAGGGGGTTTTTCGGGAGGTTTTCAGGCTGATTTTCAGGTTGATTTTCAGAGGCGTTTTCTAGGGGGGTTTTCTAGGGGGGTTTTCTAGGGGGTTTCCTAGGGGGCTTTCCTAGGTAGTCATTTCCTTGGAGGCTGGCCTATTCCCAGCGCGTAAATTTTGGCCCAACGCTTCTGACTTAACAACTTCAGAATTCAATTATGCGACACAGAGTGAAATCAACATTATTGATAAGCCGCAAGGACAACGAAGAGAAATGGGGGAACTGATAGGAGGACAGGCGCGGCCGCAAGGCAAAACCCAGGACCAGAGACACAGACAGAGATGGAGAAGGAGGAGCAATCAGGCCAACCCCCCTACTAACCCCACAAAAGTTTGCCTGTGTCCAGCAGAAAATCCTTGGAAGACCCGCCCACCACACCACACCACACCCCCTTTTCCAGCCTTGGCCAACAAAAGAAAACGTAATGCGCAAATTATCGTAATTATAAATTAAGTCGACGTTGGTTTGCTTCACAAAAAAAAAAAAAAAAAAAGACAGAGAGAAAACCCAAAGGAAAGAGTGCTCCTCCGACTTAGTTGAAATGTTGGAAAATGTAATGAAAAATAACCAAGCCACCCACTGGCATTCGAAAATAGATTTCCACTATATATATATCTCACTTTATATATATATATATGTATAGGTTTATATATATATATATAACGAGCTGTAATTCCCTGGGCCTGGGTAAGTTTTTTGGAACGACCGGAGGTCTTACAAAGTTGCGTCTTCTTGCGTCTGTGTGTAAAGTGGAAAACTTTTTCCCAGCTCTAACCCAACTCCCCAAACGCTTAAAAAAAAATAGAGACACAGAAAGAGATAGAGAGAGGGGGAGGTCTAGAAAGAGATGGAAACAAACAACTAAAGCTTTACCCCAAAGCTGGTGAAAATTTCACTTATTGTTGTTAGTCGCCGCCGCCGGCTGTAAATGAAGCCATTTTGTGTTCAAAAAAAAATATATATAGGGGAAAATTTATATATATAAAGTAAAGAAAGTAAAGGGGGAGAATAACCGTTACACCGTTATGATGCCTGAGCTGAGTTGGCATTATTATTGGGTCGAAAGCTGCCCTAATTGTGGGCCAAGATAGCCCAACTCCAGCTTCCTCCATAAACCAAAAGCGTTAATTGAGCGTCGCCGCCATCGAAAGTCTCAGACAAAACACTGGCCAACAGTATCCAGAAAACAGTAGAAGGGAGAGAGAGAGAGAGAGCGAGCCTTCAAAAACAATTGAAATGCCTTAGGAAATTTTCACCCCCCTTGAAGGGGGGGAGCCACTTACAAAAATTTACAACTTTTCGCAAGGGGAGTTGTGCGGAGGCGGCTATTAAAAATGTTGGCTGAGTTGTCAGTCGTTTGTTTACTGGTGGAAACTAAAATTAAATCTGCCAGAAAAAAAACAGCAAATCGTTTGATATTACAAGGATTTTTGGGTGATTTTTAACCAGAGAAAATATTTTAAAATATGTAAATATGTAAAATATATAAATATTTTAAAATATGTAAATATTTTAAAATATGTAAATATTTGTATAAAATATTAATATTAATTATTTTTAATATTTTTAATATATGACTTATTTTTGTTATATTTTTAAGTATAAAGATTTATTTATAAACTATTTTTTTCGCTCTTTAGAATATTTTAAAATAATAAAAAAAAAAAAATAATAAGTAAATAAAATAATTTCAAGCTTATTAACTTAAAAAATGTGTTAAAATATTTTACAATATTTTTAAAATGTGTTGAAATATTTTTAAATATTTTGAATTATTTTTAAATATTTTGAATTATTTTTAAATATTTTCAAATATTTTTAAATATTTTGAATTATTAAAAAAATGTGTTTAAATATTTTACAATATTTTTAAAATGTGTTAAAATATTTTAAAATATTTTTTGATTTTTTTAAAGAATTTATAAGCTGGAAATTCCTTAATTTATTTATTCATAATTTATTTAGTTAAATTCTCAGCTAAATTCCAAGTTATTATTGACTCATTTACTTAATCATATATTTCCCAAGCCAAAATTATTTATAAAAAAAACCTATAAACTGACCCTTTTTCAGGATAAATTACGTAGAAATTTCCCAAACCTTTTTCAACTTTCCAACTATTACCCACACCCCTCGCCCATAAAGATATATGACACCCATCTAAAGGCAAAGAGAAATTTAAAAATAATATATATATAGCATATACATATATATATTAGACAGCTTTGGCAATTTTCGCTGGGGTTATCTACGCAGACCGATCAGTTCGAATTGGATACAGGATACAGGATACACTTTCCCAACCACTTTGCCACTTTGCTGCCAAGAGAGGGGATGCCGCCGACGCCTCCGCCCTTGGGGTATCATCAGCAGTGGCAGGAGCACATCCCACCCTCTCCCAGGACCCATCCCTCCCCCGGACAGGACTGATGGATGTCCTGGCCCGGAGGCATTTTCCTCTGTGCATAAGTAGCTGGGAAATTAACGCCAGGCTGGGGGGATGTAGTGCGTGCAAGGATGCGGAGGGAGGAAAAGGAGGCAAGGACTAAGACAGCGATTGATGCGTGACAGAGGGGGGAGGGGTGTAAGGAGCAAGGACTAGGGACTGGGGAAAAATTCCAATGAATGGTTATAAATTGAAAATGACTAAATGAAATGAGTAAATATTGACAGATTGACTGAAGTTGGCAGTTGTCAGCATTGGACAAGGTTTGACAAGGCTAATTTGTTGATTTGCTTCAATTTTTTTGGGGTTTTTTTTTTTACTTCTTTTATATATATATCTAATCTATATCTTCACTCCTGCACACCCCCCTGGGTCCTTGTTTGTGTCATTAGCATTTGAGGAGTTTTCCCCTGTTTCCCCCCTGATTTTCGCATTTTCCATGTCCATTTCGTGTCTGTTTTGGTCAGTTTGAGCTTTGGACAAAGTTTTTTCTTGTTTTTTCTTTTTTTCGTCTTTGTCCTGCTAATGACCTTAGGACCCTGGCCCTTCTTGGACTTGTTGTGGGCCAAAGTGAACGGAAGTAATTATAATGGCTGCGAGGACATGATTTTTGGCATTCTAATTGAATCAGGCTCAGGCGAGAGAAAAAAAGTCCCTTTTCTGGTCCCTCCCACACACAAAAGTTGGAGTGTTTGGCGGGTGAATGGAAAATAAATGGTTTTGCTTTAATCACAAATAAAAAAACAAAACAAGAATTTAACAATAAAATACATTGATGAAGCTCGAATTAACACAGAGAATACAATATTTATGCCAAATACAGGCAATTAATTTTTTTTTTTTTAATGTCGGAAAAAGACAATAAGATAATTATTTACAACGCCAATATATTAAAAATACATGTACGCTTCCATAAAAAGTTAATTATATTTAGAACATAGAAAAATATATATAATATATCAAATATAACATATTAGCTCCAATTGGAGCTTACCAAGAATGGTAACCTATCCACTAAAACCCACAAATATAACCTAATAAATTGAACATAATGTTTTGTTTGAATCAATCAACTTAATCAAGGAATCAATGAGTCATCTGTTCCCGCAATAAGCTTTCTTTTATGTTTTAAGCTAAGTTTCCTAATCCTAATCGCTGCTAAGGGAGCTTTATGATTCTATAAACCATTTGTTTTGACTTGGACTTACCCGCAATAATATGGACACCCTGTTGCTGTTCCCTTCCATTTTCACACATCAGATTTAGCTGGGATTCAACGATAATTAATTCCTTCCATTGCTGATATTCTGTCTGTTTTTGCACGATTTTCATAATTGAACTTGCACAATTCCAGCTAAGCGGCACTTTTCCAGTGGTCATCCAGAATGTCACGTGACATGTAAACACGAGGGGAGAGGCGCACAAATTAAGATTCAGATTCATCGCTGAATAACTCCTTCGATTCCCAGAGATTATTGGCGATTTTTCATGATTATTATTATATTTGGCAGAATTCCATGAATTGGCACTTTTCCGCGGTCATCCAGATCGGTTAGGATGGACACGTCACACGTAGACACGAGGTGAGAGGCGCGCACTAACTGAAGCTGCGGCTGCAGAGAGGCCTGTAGTTATAGGTAGCCAGAGGGGAGAAAGCTTGATCGAGAGTGAACACACGTCAGCGTCTGAGAGCTGAGCTGCGAGCTGAGCTGAGAGCAGAGCTGCGAGCAGAGTTGCGAGCAGAGTTGCGAGCAGAGCTGTGAGCTGAGCTGAGAGCAGAGTTGCGAGCAGAGCTGCGAGCTGAGTTGCGAGCAGAGCTGCGAGCAGAGCTGAGAGCAGAGCTGAGAGCAGAGCTGAGAGCAGAGCTGCGAGCGGAGCTGCGAACAGAGCTGAGAGCAGAGCTGATAAGCTCAGCTCAGCTCTCAGTGTGTGCGCTCTCATACAAGCAGTGTGTGTGTGTGTTCGCTGTTCTGAAATTATCAGCTCTGCTCTAAGCTCGGCTCTCAGCTCAACCTCTCTCTCTCTCCCTCTCCCTCTCTAGCTACCTATAAATACAACCCCCTCTGCCGCCGCAGCTTCAGTCAGTGCGCGCCTCCCTCTCTCCCCTCGTGCCTCCCCTCGCCATCACCTGTGACGTGTGCATCTCAACCCTTCTAGAAGACTCCGAAAAAGTGTTGCTTCGATGGAAAAGTGCAAGTTCATAATAAATTCATGCAAAAACAACAAAAATCTCTGCAATCGAAGGAAGTAATCATCGATGAATCCCAGCCAAGTCTGCTGTGTGAAGAAGGAAGACAACAGAGTATTCTTTACTGCTTCTAAGTCCATAGAAGCGATCGGAGTTAGAAAATTACAGCGGGTGAGTCAAAGCCAAATAAATATCCTTATATAAACAAAAAAGGAAGCTTCGGCGAGCCGAAGTTGTGAATAAAACTATAATACCCTGCAAAGGTATACAAGTATAGGAATATGAATTTAGGAAAGGAATAAGAGAATAATTAAAGATTTTTTATTTAAAATCAAAATAAAAAGGTGTTCAAAAACTAATTAAAAAATACAGAAAATATAGAAAAAAAATATAGCCACTAGTCAATACTTTAAAAAACCAAAAGAAAACAAGTGAAAGAAAGCTAACGAGATTCTTTAAGTCGTTTTTTTTTTTCTAATATAAATTTTTTTTGAAAATTTTAATTTCAAAACAAAATAATAATAAAAAATTATGCCATTTTTTGTTCTTCCAGATAGACTCGCCCGTTGATGCTGATCAAAAATATAATTTTACTAAAATTATAATTCCCTTTAAGTATTATAAATATACAAAATAAAAGGAAAAAGAACACATCTCACAGAATACCGAACCCACTATACACTTTTTAAATTGGCTCTAAAAAAACTCTTTAGATAAACCAATTGGGCTTTATTCAAGGCCGCCTACACGGGGGGAGGGGGTGAAAACAAAGAGATACACACATTCATACACATGGAAACCCATTTATTTTTGTGTGTCCTTCTCTGTGTGTGTGTGTGTGTGTGTGTGTGTGTGTGTGTGTGTGTGTGTGTGTGTGTGTGTGTGTGTGTGTGTGTGTGTGTGTGTGTGTGTGTGTGTGTGTGTGTGTGTGTGTGTGTGTGTGTGTGCAGTAATAACAGGCAGTATCAACATTTTCCAGCTCTATAGAATGCAATGAATACCCACTGTATATATATGCTAAGAAAATAGATACTCGGCACACAGAGTGGGGCTTCGTTAGACATATGCGTCGCGCGTCTGATCCCCAAGTTTATCTAGACTCTCTATGGGCACATTGGCTGTATAATAAATCGAAGTCACGACAAATATAAATAATAAAATGTATTTTATTTTATTTTCATGCCCCGCACCCACCCACCTAGCACACTACCCCCTCGTTTTCAACGTGCTTTTAGTACATAAATCTCGGGCTTACCCAAACCCGAAAAAAATAAAGAGAAAATAAAATAAAAAATATATAAATAAAATAAAAGTTGTAGGGGGGTGGGTAGGGAGGTACGCCTGAAACAACAGACACAAGTCCGTGGTCTCACTCTGTCACTGCTGTATGAATATTGTTTGTGCATATATAATAATAAAATAAATAAAAAAAAAAACATCTCAAAATGGTAAGAGAGAAAAAGAGAACAAGAGAAAACAAAGAGCAAAGGAAGAAGTAACAATAACAAATCCAATATTAGATGGCTAAAACAACACAGAGCATTCAAGTGTGCGTTGAGGGGGTTTGTAGAGAAGGGGGAGAGGAGGGGGAGCTATTTCAGGGGTAGGGGAATCCTTGAATCCTTCGCTGGTCCTGGCAGCTGCTGCCAAGCCAAGCCAAGCGCAGAGCAAAGTCTGATGTACACGTTTATGGCTATTTGCGATTTTACCCCTCCAAAAACCCCCCCGAAAAAACCAGCTCAATAAAAGCGAAAGGAGACAAGGCCGAAAACAATGGCGATTTGCCACTCTAATACACTGTAAAAAATATTTACAATACAACTTACCAATTAGCAAAATAAAATCTCCGGAAGTTAAGAGTGAGTTGGGTTTATGACTGCAAGAAAAAAAGAGGAAAAATGAATTAGTATATTACAAATATAGCTAAAGCCATTATTAAATTAAAAAATAAATATATTACTCTTAAATAAATGTTTAATATTTAAAGTATTTTTAATTATATTTTGCAGGGCATTAAAACTTCTGTCAGGGAATTGAAAAACAATATATTATTTGATTATTAGTTTAAAAATCTTGACATAGTTAAACAAAAAAAGTATTTTTAAATTTTATAAAAAATAAAACAAAAATATTTAGCACCTAAATTTATTATTTAAAATATTTCAAGAATTTTTTAAACATTTTCTATAGCCTTGCAGGGTATTATAATTTCGATCAAAAACTTGCACATCATTATATTATCAAATTATTAGCTTTAACAATGTTAAAAATTAAAAAAATATATATTAAATTATTATTAAAAAAAAAAATATATATATATATAATATATTAAATTATTAAAAAAAAAAAAAATTAACACACAAATATATAGCATATCAATTTATAATAAAAAATAAATTTTTAAGCTAGTTTTATATTATACTCTTTGAATATAGTTTTTAAGTCTTATTAAAAATTAATAAAATCAAAACAAAAATATATAGCACCTAAACTTATTGTTAAAAAATAGCTTAAGATATTTTTACTTATATATTATTTTTAAATATATATTTTAAGTCTTATTACATAAATATTACATATTTTATTCTCCAAAAAAGAATATATTCTTTTAAAAAACATAATTTAAGTTAAGGCATAATTTACGCAGCATTTTTTTTTTAGAAATTTCCCTTTAATTTTTCTTTGCTTTCCCTTTAATTCCCCTATAATTTTCTTTAATTCCCCTTTAATTTCTCTCAGTGTCTAGCCAAGAAAGTGGCCCCATTGAGGCAGGCTTATTTTGAGGTGATTTTAAAGGCATTTAGGTATAAGGTCGATTGCCCCTCACGGAAGTGGATAATCATCAAATGATGCTACAATTACCTTTCCGACACTTTCTTCCCCAACAAACCCCACACTATGAAGCATAATATACATAATATATAAATAAATAAATATATATAGATATACATATATATAAACGACCATAATCAAGAGCCATGAAACATAATAGGAACCCTTTTTGGTGCGGAAACTACTTCTTAACGAGTAGGGCTTTTTGGCCCAGAGTTTGCTTCAAAATTTCCGCTCTAACACCAAGAACACCCTAAAAAATCTAATTTATATGACGTTAATGAGCTTTAATGTCCAAATTTTTGGAGGATCCTTAACCAGCCTCCTCACCACCCATCAAAAAAGAACCTTAGAGTTCTCGGAATGTGAAATGTTAAAAAAAAAAAACACAAAGAAAAAGAAAAAAAAATGTCCATTGTAAAAAGTTTTGCCCCATGGCTGCTTATCAAACCAAATTTGTGGCAATAAAATGAGACGGCCATGGAATTTGGAAAACTGCGAGCTGTCAAGGGGGGAAAAGTGAGGGAAAAATCGGAGGAAAATCGGTTGAAAAGCGGGAATACGGGAAGACACACACCCATGACTAAGCCAATAACCGAAAGGTTATTTAATATTTGGCTACAGTTGGCAGCAGCTCCTCATCAAAATAAAAAAAAAAGAAAGGAAAACAACAAAAAAAAAAACATAACAAACTTCCCCTAAAACCCTGCCCTATCCTTTAACCATTTTCCACCGATTTTCCACCTCCCATTTTCCCTTGGAAATTTGAGCCAAGTTCGCACTTTTTGGCTCCTATCTCTCCCTGCAAAACATCAAAGCGCCAAGGCAGAGGCGCCGCCAAGGATGAGGGCGTGGCCAGACTACCCTCCTCCTCCTGTAGTTTATTTAGCTTTTTCCTGATATTTTCCTTTATTTTCCTTTATTTTCCTGGCTGTGCTTCAGCCATCGACGGCCTGCGGCCAAATATTAAAACAAATCTAAGCGAAAACGAAACGAAACGCATTGCAAAGTTGTCAACTCGCTGTGATAACACCCACACCCACACACACACATACAGCACCCCCTTTCCACCCCACTTTCCACACCCGCCCTCCTTTGGAAAATCAACCTCACGGATTTTGTGTTTGGCGGCAAAACGAGAAAAAGGCAGAAACATTCGCAAATTTAAATGCAAATTACCAGACAAAACTGATGAGCAGTTGGGACAGGAAGAGGGGACAGGGACAGGGACAGGGACAGGGACAGGGACAGTGCGTACAAAAAGTATTGACAGTATAGGAAATAATGGCCTAAATAAAGTCGAAACAGGTGCCTTAACACACACACACAGTGGAAAAGCTGTGGAAAATGTAGGGAATAAGCGCTGGCATATGTCGCATACAAAAGACTAAATCAAAAAGTTGGAAATTGGAAAATGTGACGCTAATAGAAGCTAATACACGCGTATAAATTCAATTGTAAAAGTTACAAAATATATATAAAAAAATATATATATATGGGGGCTTAACCATATGGCATCAATATTCATATGAAAAGGTATCAATAAAGCTGGCTAATATAAGAT